AATTATTTCATAATATGCTCTTCAAATATTCTGAGGTATCCCTAAACTAAACAAGGATGTTACGTTTCTAAATAATGAGAGCACAATGATGAGCCGTCAAGTACACGTGTATAACTGAAATGGGGGAGGGTAATAACTGGAGGTTTTATATATTTGAGGGGAACAAATTAAAACGAATATGAGAAGTAGTTTTCTGCTGAACCCATTAAGTTAGGAATGAAGTACTATTGTAATCACTGAGAAAGTGGAGATTTGAGAGTGTTGTTGGTGTCCCTTGGTGATGGGTAAATAAGGCCATGTGACTAGTTTATAGAAAAGGCAACGTGATCCATGTTTTTTGCTAGGGTTTGGCTTAGGTTTTAGAGGTGCTCACCAGCTCAGCTTTGTGTTGCTTCTATGAAGCATACTCTCTATGTGTATTTGTTGATTTCAGTGGCCATTTACCGTCTCCTCTAGTCAGATAGTAGTGATGTATATTTTTTGGTTAATGCAGAGAATACAATATGCAAAGACCAAGTCAGATGTAATTGCAAAAGCTGATGGTACTTTTGTTCCCCGAGAAAAACGAAAGAGGCATGAGGAGAGAGGTAAGCACTTTCATCTCTTTATGTGTTCTGTGCTACACTAAGTTTCCATTTTAAAATGCCGTTGCTGGTTATTTCTAAAGCAAATTAGGTGACAAGCAATTTGCCCAACAATGGATTTCTTCTCATAGAATTGGTTAGATTAGAAATCCCACTCTAGATTTACTAATTTTTGAAAAAAAAAAATGATTGAGAAATCTTTTCCTCTGTAAAAATTAGTTTGGCTTCTAGAGACAGACAAGTTTTTGGGTAAAGTAAGTCTTCTCACTGATTCCGATTTTTATTAAAAGGCTTGCTTTTTAATTTTTTTTTATAATAATTTCATCCCAGCAAGGTTAGTTCCTAATTTCTTACCTCGTTTTTAATCCTTTATCCCTTGAAAGGGTATGATGTGGTAGAATAAGTTATATCACGTACATGTTGCTGAAGGGTGGGAGCAATGTCACCATGTATGTGTGGTATTATAGAATCTAAGATTATCCCTGCTGCTAGAAAGTTTAATTAGAATGAAAAGGAGGTGAGTTGTGATGTGACTGATGTCTAGGTGCACCATGATAGTAACTAATTATTATCAATAAAGTTATGTTGTATTTCCCTTCAATTAAATCAAAATTATCAAATATAGTTTCTGGCCTTGCTACATGCCATCCACATCAAGCTACTAGTCTCAAATGGAGTTGGAAAGATTCTTCTAGGATTTTTGGGAAGTTACAATAAAAAAAAGGATGACACCACCTCTTACTTTTATAAATAGGTATGTAGATGCAAAGAATAATGAATGTATGCACATTGATAACCTTACAGTCACCTTAGGAGTAGCGCAATGATAGCCTTTCCCACTTTCCTTCCCCATCTGAGCCAATACATTTGTTACATTTGTTGCATGCTTATAAATTTTATGATGGTGATGTCTAGGTCTATTTACTTCTTATTGAGCTGTGTGGTTGTTGGCTAATATAAAAATCCCACCTCCATGGAATGGCCAACCGAATGGGAAAAGGGAAATTCATTGTCGTAATATCAGGGAATATCAAAGATTGATGACATATTATTTGCTGCTGTTGGTAGTCAACCATGAGGGTTCTTGTGAACATCTCTTTTGGGAAGAAATTAGCGGGATCATAATCCAAATACTAACCATCCAGGGTGTTCCTTTTCTATCTTTAGTTCTTTTGAATATTGTTTTTGTCCTTCCTTTTCTCAAAATCACTCATAATTGTATGTGTGCGTGCATGCTTGTGTTGCACATCCATCCACATTTATATCAAATTTATTTGCTTCTAACACTAGGATGATCTGTATAGCTCTGCTAAGGTATATTTATTAAGATATACAGTTAGAATGGAGACTGATAAAACTGGTCTTGTCCTATCTTCCCCCTCCCCCTTTCTCAGTTCCTTTGATATCTTACTGACAGCCTTAGTCATGGCATACGTCCCGCTTAATTTTTTTTAGCTATTTGCTACTGCCTACTGGCTTTTGAAAGATGCAGTACATGTATGTGATTAATAATCAAGCTTGCTTTACCTTTTCATCCGATGAATCTCACTTAAACATAGGTAGGCTTAAGCTATTCTATAGCTAGCAAAATTGGAAAATCGCAATCGTGTAACTAAGGTCATCTTAGGTTAGACGCAAGTAGAGCAATGCATATTAAAGCTTAAAAGCACTCTAAAGCGATAGGGTCCTGTTGCGCCCAGGCAATCTTTGCTCTTGTCCAACATATTTTACTCCTAATTCCCTACCTTTTCCTTTAGAGTGTAGGTTAGTTGTCTTCTCTCTTAGGAAATTGAATGTGATTTTCCATAAAAGAAGGTATAGATACCTCCTTCAAAAAAATTCACTGAAGTCTGTCGTTGGGAAATGTTTGTATGTGGCGGTCATAAATTTGTGGAATGTGGGAATAACTTTATCGATGAAACTTAGTCCTTAATCCCTATCATCTTCTACTCTCCTGTAGATTAGTTTTTAGTTGAGGACAAGGCATAAAATGAATGTAATATCATCGGGAAGAGTAGATAATAACTTCAACCCAAATTTTGTAGATGCTCATTCATATTGATTGTTAAACTTGAAGGACATGCGAGTCTGACATGATTACTGATTAGTTATAATAGGCCGCAGCGAAAAGTCCATTCTGACGTTGTGTAATGTGTTTGAAATGGTTTTGAATGCCGAAGAAAACCAAACTGATAGCAAAGTTTGAGAGCAATTAAAAACCCATGGAACAGAAAGGGAAAGAGAAACTTTGTCAGATTGTGTTTAATGAACTTATGCTTTTTAATTGATTTCAAACTGGTATTCTCTACTGAGAGTGTTTAACAGCTGCTCCATGTTGGATGTTTTATGTTAGTTACTGAGCATTTGTCTGTAATTCTTTTAGCAGGTAAGAAAAAGAAGGAACAACAGGATGCTAATCAAGCAGCTGTGGGCATGAATTATCCGGGAGCATATGGTGTAGCTCCTCCTGTAAGTCATTTTATTTGTATATATTTTTCCATCTTGATGATTTTATACCTATACTTGCATTAGCTTTTGTCTCTTTGGAATTTAAGCAAGTTCTGTTGTTTTTTCTTTGTAAGTAGAAGCATTTTGTAAAATGGAAAATTTAAGTAAGTTCTGTTGTTTTTTCTTTGCAAGTAGAAGCATTTTGTAAAATGGAAAATTACCTTAGAAAACTTGCTCATTGAGACAGGCACTAGAGGTTCTAGTTTAAACCTGTGATCATTGATTAATCTGGAGTTTATTGTTGATTATTAAAAATAGGAAGGAAATGAAAAGAAAGAAAGAAAAAAGGGAGAAAGAAATGCCTCACTAAGCATTGAGGAACTTTTTTTGTTTTCACATGCTGATAATGTTCAGAAGTGATGTCTTTCTGTATATTTAGTCTGTTCCTATAATGTGCTGTGTAGTGTTCTTTCATTTGCACAGAGTGAACTGGACTTTTGCCTTTTTCTTAATTTTGGAGGAGACAGTATCTGAGAACGCTATGATTGAGTTAAATCTTTTTTTACAAATTTTAGAAGGGTGAGAAATGACATGTACTAAATCATCAACTGTAGCTTAATTGAGGGAAATGATTTTGGCGTACCAAAAATTGATTTTGGCACTCATTATGAGAGCACAATTTTCTATATACTATTCACACAAAGGCGTGCCAATATAGCAAAATTAGTTTCCCTCAATTGAACTAGGGAAGGTAAGAATGAGTGGGCTAGCAAGCTAGCAACTACCAATGTTGTACATTGACAGCTTTTATTTCCTGTATCCTAAACTTTACCAAAGAATTCATGCAATAATTCAACAAGGTCTTTTTTTTCCCTATCTAATTCGATTTTGTTGAGTATTGCAGCTTTCACAGATCCCGTATATGGGTGCCAAACCAATCGTTCCGGAGGTCCCAGCTGCACCAAACAACATTCTTTTCGTTCAGAATCTTCCACACGAGGCAACTACATTGATGCTGTCGTTGCTTTTTAGACAATATCCTGGCTTTAAGGAAGTGCGTATGGTGGAAGCAAAGCCTGGCATTGCGTTCGTGGAGTATGAAAATGAAATGCAATCTACAGTTGCAATGAACGCGCTTCAGAATTTCAAAATGGTTGAAAACGCTATGTTAATCACATATGCAAAGAAATAGATGAACAGAACATCTGTGTTTAACATTGCATACATTTAGATGGCTTTTGGTCTGGGAATTTTAAGTTGTAGTGTTGTTTCTGAGCTGCCATGTGTCCATGGTATTTTTAAGGCACATTGATTATATATAGTTCAGGATGTGAAATTTTAGCTGGATATCAATTTCTGCAACTGCAATCAAATCCAAATAGTGATACTGGTTCTTGTGTTTCCTAACTTTTTGAAAATGCATGCACCATGAATTTTGCCTTGCATCTTATTAACCTACAGCTTTGACAAATATTAACCATTTGATCTTAATTTCTGCATATTATATTTCTCTCTCTTATTTATGTTGCCTCTTAATATTCGGGCACAAAAGATGTGATTGTAGCTTCTCTTGCAAACCTAACACTATATACCGAATGGATTGTATACTCCCGGTGTCCTATGATGAAATGTAGAGAATAAACGCTTGAGCTTGAGAAAAGGCCAAATCCTTACTATTTGATTAACACAGGCCTAAAATAAATTGAAACCTCAACATCTTACAAGGACTAGCAATCAAGCTGTATGGGGGCTTCAACATTATACACTCTTAACCACCTCACCCCACCACTCTCACTCAAGGGTTTGAGCTTTGAATCGTATTGGGAATTTTCCACAATAGAACCTGTCCTGGCTGTCCAAAACCTTCCGAAGGTCTACAGAGTACAGACTATAGGGTTAGATGTATGTAATCTGGCTGCCACTCAAAAGGTTGAAACTAGTAGAGGCAATTTTCTAACACTAACCATCTTCAAGAGATACAAATTCAATTAGCCTTTTTTTTAGTGTAATAACTAATCATGTTACATCAGGATGGAAAAGCTACTACTGTAATTTAAACTTTCTCCAGCTCTGACTTGTGCTTGTCAAGTTGCTCTCTCAACTCTTTCTTCCATCCTTGAATAAGCTGTTCTTGTTTCTTAATAAGCTCCGTTTTGACCTTCAACTCTTCTTCCATGACAGAAATTTCCTGATACAACATGAAAAGCGACCAGTCAGTGAATCTGCTCTAATAATCACACCATGTCTACAACTTGTATACAGATGGAGCAACATTTAAATAGGCTCTTCATACCTTCTGAAGCATTTCAGCCTTGGTAGGTTGCTCCTCACGTTGCAGACTGATAAAAAACAATTGAAGCCTTTTAGCAGCCTCCATGAAGTCTCTTGCATGTCTTTCTACATCAACTGAAGCAATACATAGCATTCTCAGCAATTTCATACAAATGAATTAATGTGAATAGTGTTTAAACAGAGCTCAGAGGAAAGTTTCTTTAAACATCAAGAACAACAATTCCAGCACAATGATACAGAAACAATGATTCCACAACAGTTGCTGTCCCAAAAGTAAGATCATACCCAGAGATAGTGATGACATTAGCAGTAATAACTGAGTAGCTGCAATCTCAATTTACAGATTACATTCGAGCAAAGAAAATTAATCCAGCTCCTTTGGAACACAACCTAGATACATTAAGGCTAAAACAACAGGTCACTTGCATATCAAAATGCAAATTTTAACAATAAGGCACTACAAGATTGCATAAAGCAGATTAGTGTAAAAACCAAACCATAATAATGTTCATGCATGGAAACTGCAACTGTCGGTGCTGTGTTCCATTTTCAAAACCCTCCAGCCAATAACGGCTTATGATGATGTATACATCAGTCATTAACATTAGATTCTGACTTTTGGTCAACAACTAGGCTACAGAAGCCAACAATCTAGGCATTTTCAGACCACAACACATGTAAGTACCAGTCCACTACTACCAAAGAAAATAGTTACCAACATTGGAATCTTAATGACCTAAATAGGTTACACCTGATAATACGAACATGTCCCAAACTCATATATCCAAAACCTCGCCTAGCACTCCACCAATTAACCAAATATTCTTCAAGAATTATACTTTTCCTTGTAGTCACACACACTTCAAAACACAAAGAAATCTGTCCATTTCTCTACTTAAAGATGTGATTTTTATGCAATTTTGATTATCACAGACGAAACCAATATGTCTTGTCTTATCGGATATCCTCAGAAGTAGCCTTGTCTCAATTACAAGGACAAAGTTGCATATGTTTCGAGTAACAATCAACCTGATTACAACAAATGTTTTCCATCAATAGCTCCAGTTTGGCCAAAATCCAACAGGATAGTAACTATTTTCAAAGAATGAAACAAAAAGCTATTCGACTACAAATCGGCCAAAACAAACCCTATCCCAGAAAACATCAATAGGGCTTATAAGTTCATCAATTCTTTACCAAACCAAGGGCAGAAGTTCTATGACCAATTATCACTTCCACAACAACTACAATCAAAATTAACACAGAATTCGATAAACACATGAACTCAACAATTAAAAATATAATCATCCCAGAAAATCCAATCCACAGAATTACCTCTCTATTTAATAGTTAGAAATCCAAAAACTCAATTAAAGCACTAATTTTTTACGAAACAAGCATACAAAAGACATTATATACAAAAAAGGGTAACTGGGTAATTCATAAATTATATAAAAACAACAAAATTCAAACGAAAATAGAAAGAAATAATGAAAAAGAAGAAGGAAAAGAAAGTTACTCTGATGAGAAGGATGAGGGGAACGATCAATAGCTTGGAGTTCACGAGCGGGTAAGCAGGGAAGAAGAGCAGCTTCTAAGGCGGTGACACACTGTAACATTTCATCCTTCCCCGCCTGAATTGGCGGAGTTTTCGGTGGTTGTTGCGGCGGCGATTGCAGGGTCCCCGTCGATGGAGTATCCACTGTTTGCTGGTCTGCCATTTGCTTCTCAGGAGATTTGTTTTTCTTTGGGGCTGTTTTTTTTTTTTTTTTTTTTTTTTTTTTTGAAGCAGGGGCTGTTTAAACCTTGTTTATTTCTAGCCCGTCCTAGCGCCTAACAGTGATGGAAATGGGTTGTCCATCACAGGGGCAAGATGGTAATTTCGTCATATTTGAAAATTTTAAACACAAGCATAGCCGTTGCCAACGTGTCAAACCCGTTATGCCAACTAATCACCCCGTTGCTTATGTGGCGAGTAAATCCTAGTCAGAAATTAAGGATCCTTTCCCCAAATCAATTTCCCAATTAACCACGCGCCTGGTGAAATTAGGGTTCATCGACATTTTCCCCAAATTGTTCCTTCTTTGTTCAATCAGTAGTTGTTCGACGTCGAAAATAGGGTTTTTCGCGGAAAAGGAAGTAAAGCATTCTTCTTCGAAGCTCCAAGTAGTTGAATTAGGGTTTTTCGCGGAAAAGGGTGTTGGTCGCAGACGAATTTGCAAAGGAATAAGGTATTCTAAGTTTTAAAGTGAATGAATGGTTTGATTTGGTTTCTTGTTCACTCATATAGCGTGGTTTGTATTTGAGTTTATGTAGTTTGATTGAACTTGTTAATTGAATTCAGAATTTAACTGAGTAATGTAGTTATTAGGTATAAACAATTGAATTTAAAACGAACTAATTTTGGCAAAATGTGAAGTTTTTAGGTTGTGAAGCAACTAAATTTTGAATAGTGTATACTTGCATGTTAATTGAAAAAAAGTTGATGTGGTTTACTGCAATATGTAGTGTATTTTACTAAGTTTGTGGCTGGTTTTATGCAAATTTATGCAAAACAAAGTACAGTAATTGAAGTGTTCTTATTTTAGCTTGTGCTTTTGCATTTTAGTTATGTGGTCTTGTGTTATTATTTGAATAACCTGTTTTTCTGTGTATTGGTTAATATTACAAGAAAATGGGAAGACACGATGCTCGTGTGAATTCAAAGCATGTTTGTGGTGAAGAATCATCTTATTCAAGGGTTGTGAAGAAAAGAAAAAGGGCCGCTGACGACTATTATGGTCTTCAATCTGATAGTGAAGATGGTAACGACTCTCAAAATTTCGCACATTCTTCTTCCCATAAATCCTCATCCCATAAATCCAGGGATGACAGAAGAAGGAAACACCATAAATCTGAGGTAAAGAAAGACAGTGTAGTAGTTTGGGTTGATTTGGTTTTATAATTGTTCTAATTACTTCATTTTGTTGTGAAAAGATGATTGACCCTAGCAAAGGGGAGCTTGTGAAGGCTAGGTATGATGTTGTCAATATACAGGCGAGGAGGTGCAGGAAAGTATGGTGTATATCTTGCAAGTAAAGCATTTACCTTATTGCAAGCAAAGCATTTACCTTATTGCTTATTTGTTTGTTTGGTAATATACTTAATTAGATAATGAACCCCTTTCCTCTGAATTTTGAATGTAGGGTCCAAATGTGATATGTAGGGTTGATATGTTTTACTTGAGGGTAATCAAATCTCTAGATAAAAGCAGGAAGGAGGAAGTGAAGCTGATGGGTTTTGGTGGGTTGCTGGAACTGAAGTTAAATTATTTGCCAAGGCAGTTATGTTATTGGATAATGTCAAGGATTCAAAGTTGCGGTTCGATAGAATTTGGTGATGAGCAGGTAATGATGTTGGCCCCAATACAACTTCAATGTATATTGGGGTTGCCAATGGAAGAAAAAGTAGTTCCTTTGAAAGTAGATAGGGATGATCGTGTTATGGTGAAGAAGTTGGATGGTATTATAAGGGATTATAGGGCTGGAGGGAAAAACGGTGATCAATTGTCTTTGGTAAAGGCAATAGGTGTTGTGACTAAGGGGTTGGATAAGGATGGGAATGAACTGCCTCTTGCTAATGATGCAGAGAAGATGCAGTTCAGGAATGCATTTCTTATTGTTGTATTGGGTGCCTTGTTGTGTCCCACAACCAAATGGGGCCTCTTGGCGAAGAAGCTTACACCAGCTATTACAGTTGCTCGGCATTCGGCCAAGTATGATTGGTGCACCATGGTATATAATTGGTTAATAGACTGTGTGAAGGTGTTTGCAGATAAGTTTGATGAAAACGGGTTTGCTGCAGGCTGTGGTGGCTGCTCGTTGTTTGTATTGGTAAGTTAAGTTAAATTTGTTAATTTTCACTTAGATGTACCCAATGTTCAATTTTACAATGTTAATTTTTTGGTTACAGGTGTTCTATCTTGACCATCTACACCGACCTCCTGTCAGGTGGGGTGTTTTACCAAGAATAAAGGTGTGGACGGCGGTTGAAGTGACCAGGGCAACAAAAGAAGACAAAAGGAGGACGTCTGACGATTACGGGAAGCTGATGGTTTATGCTTATGAGTTTGTTATTTATTTTTGTTGTATTTTTATTTTGGTTATATGATGTTTATTTTTGTTATATTTTTATTTTGTTTATATTTTTTTTTTTTTTTTTTTAGAACTCTAAAATAAAAAAACAAAAATTGAATTGTTGTTTCAGTGTGCCCCAGTTGCATATGGAGAGGAGGATCATCCATATGCAGTTCGAGACTCGTCAAGGACATTAGTGCAGAAAGTGGCTGCTGAGGTAAACTCACATGCAATTTTATTGAGGTGTAATTGCAAGTGTTATTTTATTTTGTCTGACTTATTAATGTTATTTCTGTCATTGTAATTTTTATTGCAGGTGGTGAATCTGTTAAAACCTCAACTGCAGAGTATGGTCTCTGAGGCAGTGAGGAATGAGGTCCAATCTCCAATCAAGACTATCATACCATTGAGGAGGAGGACCATCCTGATCTCAGATCTCACAAGGATGAAGAGTTCAGATCTCATAAGGAGGGTGAGGATGGAGTTGATGATATCATATCTCCTCACAAGGAGGGTGAGGATGGAGCTGATGATTTCTGATCTCCTCACAAGGAGGGTGAGGAGAGATCTGCGAAGAGTTCTGACAATGACAAGGATGAAGAGAGATCTGGGAAGAATTCTCCTGAAGACATGGATGATGAGTCCAAGGAGAAGACTCCTAAAGACAGGGATGATGAGCCCAAGGAGAAGACTCCTAAAGACAGGGATGATGAACACAAGGAGAATTCTCCAAAGCAGAGAGGTCCCAAAGGTCCCAAGCAGAAAGCTCCCACGGATGGAGTGCCTGGTGATGAACAAACTCCAGGTCGAGATGATGTACTGAGTGAGGGGTCAATTGTGCGGCCACATGGTTCGAACCGTAGAACAAGGGAGAAGAGACCTTTGGTGCCAACAAATATCAGTTTGGTTTCCGGACTAAAGAACACCACCAAACAATCAATTTTAGAGAAAAGGTTTATAGAGTATGTTCGTTCGTTTCGGTCAGTGCGGAGTGGAAGGTATAACACATAATGCTTTACTCGATCTTTTCCAATAATTTCTACCCCTGTTTTTATGTACTTTCAATATTAAGCAGGCCAGGTCTAGCCCTTGTCCAATGCAATGGTGTTGATGCCACCCTTAAGGATTGCTACCATCTTTTGATGGTGAAGGAGTGCATAAGTTCTATCTACGTCCGTATGGCTTCAAGATTGTATACAAAACGCTGGGAAGTTGAGCAATTCATTGGCAAGAGCCGTCGAGTCCTCATGTCACCTGACTTCTCGATATGTGCTGTGTATGCCCTTTCTCTGTTTCTTCTTGTTACATATTAAATGGCTAATGTGTTCTCTATTTTATTCGACACAATCGAGCTCTGTGTTCTGTTGACAACTACCAGATTGCCCTTCGGTACCGGAATGCCATAGCTAATATTCTACTTGGAGAATTGCTAGTTGTAAGCCCCCAAATCAGCTCCACTTCCCTTTATTTAAATTTAACTTTGATGGTTCCATTTACTGATGTTGTCATGTGTATTTTGAAGATATTTGTACCTGTGTTAAAAAACGATCATTGGTGGTGTGCAGTGTTTGATTTGCAAGCCAAGACAAGGTGGTACATTGACACTATGTACTCAGAGCCATGGGTCGCTCACCAGTCTGATTGCGTCTGTGTGGTATGTGCAATTTTGTGTTGACTGGATTCTATTTAAGTTGTATAGTCCACGATCATTTATATTTATGAATTAGTTTATTTATAACACAGACAAATGCCGTGGAAGCACTGATCAACTCCCTGCATTCGCAATGGAAGCTTGGACAAATCACAGCGTGGCCTCAAAAGGCTATACAAATATTGGATAACACAAATCAATAAGTTTGCCAATTTTATGTTTCTGTTAATATTTAGCATTATGCTTTGATGGTTTGTTTTGTTGTTACATTAATACAAGCTTCACTCGTCCATTTTTAGCCGATCATGTGTAGTATACATGCTTGCGTGCATAAAAGCCTGTGCGTATCAGATGCAAACGAAGTGGAGCATTGTGAGTTCATCTTTATCCTCATTCTTGTTGAGTTAATCTTTATCCTCATTCTTGTTGAGGGTTGTTAATTTGCATCACTTTTAAGTCCATACCGGCATGTGTCTATTGCGTAAAAGGACAAAATTGAAGTGACACAGGAGAAATTGCTCCTTGATGATGCAATGTGCGAGTACAATGAGATCAAAGGGACCTTCCACACCATCATCCCGAATGCCCACTCTCCTCAAAAGATTTCACACACAGCAATGAGACGCACAGCGAACAAGATACACCAATCATGTGCTTAACTTCGTTGTTTTACGATATTGGCTCCCTAAACGATTAACTTTGCTATTAGTACATTTTCATGTCTGTTAAAATTCTAAGTATTACTCATACTTAAGTTATTGGCTCCCCAATAGTATCTATTATTTCCTAGTAGTAAACACAACATTTTGGTTGATCTACTTGGGATAAGTAGTATGCTACTTATGCTCCAGTAGTACTAGGTAGTGGCTCAGTAGTTCTAAAATCTACTAAATGTACTACTTTTTGATGAATATGTGCTACTTAATATTTGGTAGTTTGAATACTGGCCCCAGTAGTAGGGATATTTTTGTTTAAACTACTGTATACCAAGTAGAAACTACTAATACTTTATAAATAAAGTATATTATAAAACATAAAACATACCAAGTAGAAACTACTCATACTTTATAAATAAAGTATATTATAAAACATAAAACATAAAATGATTGTATTATCCAGTCCATTACAAATACATAAAACATAATACGATCTACTACTACTAAGGAAGGATCAATCGTTCATCAGCCATCAATTTCTTCCCATTCGTCCGATGACCAATCGTCGTTTGGGTAATTTTCCGCCGCCGATTCACTTCCCAAGTCGTCCCTCAACCAATTCACATGAAGGCACATGTAGAACTTCTCCATGTATCCTTAGGGGTAATTATCCTAATCGAATGCGATGAAATCCCTAACTTCAATGGTGTAGTCGAGGTTGTTCCACTTAGCCATGGTTCTCTTGAATTTCTTGTACCTTGACGTGTCTAATAAGATGTGTTGATATGGATCCACCGTGTATGTTCCTAACCACTAATTGGTTACACTCCATTCCATTTTGGAGACTTACTTACCGTTTTCATCGACCTCGTCCTTAAACCCACTTATGTCCCTCTCCAAAACAATTAACCCCCACAATTTGTTAGACGGCTCATTTTCCATTAACATGACCATTATAATTCATGCAACTTATGAGACGTCTATGTAGTTTGTCTAAATTGAAACTAAAGGCAACTTTATAAACGGACACCAAGTAGTACCACAAACAAAATCCTTTTTCGGAAAAAAGGTGTTTCCAATTTTTAAGGGAGTCAATAAGGGATAGATGATATGGAAGTCTATACCTTCGACCACGTTAAAGCCTCCTCAAACAAGAGTTGCCATTAAATGACCTCCAACTATGGTTTTCATGTGGTTGAGAACGGTGAACCGACCAATGTTGTTTTTCAGGTCTGTGCTCCACTCCGAAACAACGCTTTCTACGTTAGCTTGAGCTCTTTCCATTTCGATTAACCTCTGCGGCGTTGATGACGAACCAATTTCCCAAATTCGGATCCCTTCATCATTTTCGACCTTTGCTTTACCCTCCCTTTGGTTGAATTCATCCATGGTCTGATCGTGGATAATATGAACAATGTCGAAATAATGGTTTTGATAGCAAGTTTAAGATTTCTACCTAAATGAATTTTACTTGTTCTTTGGTTTGGTCTTATACTTACTTCTATTTATTACCAGAGTAGTGACGTCTTTGCTTACATTAAAATGAGCTTTACTGTCTTCCTGTCTTAGTGTATGCCTTAAAAATAATATCTCCATTTAGTGATACACGTATTTCACTTAAGTTAGCCTAGCTACTGCCTTGAACTAACCCTAGCTAGCTGAGTTTCACATGTGGATAAGGATGGATTAACAAAATAATCAGCAAATGTGTTTTATTTTTTAGACACGTAACTAGTCAAATGTTTTTTTTTAGTGTATCTTAAATGTTGTTATTGTTTAATTGTTTTGGTGGTAAATTTATAATAATTTATAATTGTTTTTAATTTTTTACTGTTATTTATTGTTCGTTTACTGTTATTTACTGTTATTTGAAGCATGTCATTTATTTGAAGCGTGTCATTACTATCAACTTTTTAACCGTTAACTCTAACATCAAGAACTAGTTTTTACAAAGCGAAAGTTTATTCGATGCGGTTTTTCCCTTGTCACGAAAGTTTGAATCGGACGAAACATTGCGTTTCGTTTACATATATTGTAACTCTTATTTCCCCAACCACCTTTGAGTCTTGGCAACTACTTTATTTAATGCCACAAGTGTTGCACAAGTAGTTGACTCAATTGTGCAAATTTACCCCTCACCACTCTTTATGTCTCTATAAATAACGTGGACTTTATATTACAACATCTCACCCTAGAACTATTAAGCTAATTTTAATACTCCCTTTCCCATTTGACTTCCAAAATGAGCCTTCCACACCCCAAAATTTAGTATTAATCCTCTGTTGAACAATGTTAGATCATTACCCTAATAAAATTTTCAATTTGTCTAAGTTAAGGGTTTATGGAATGGGCTTAGCTCATTTTAGTATTACTACTATTATTAATTGATATAATATGACGGTTATGGTTAATTATGTTGTGATTGTGTTAATGATTGGTGGCCCAGTATTATATTAGTTTGTTGGTTTCTTCTATTTTTGTTTGTAATGTCCGATCTAGTAGTAGTCATATTTTAAGACCAAGTCCAACAGAAATAACTCGGTCAAACAAGGTTACTTAGGTCCAAACCTAGTCCAGGTCCAATAAACTAATTCGAGTTGTCTTTTTAACTCCAAATAAAACAATGAAATTTTAAAAAAAATAAAAAACCATTAATGCTAAATGAAATTAATACTACAAATAAATACATAAATAAATTTAGATAACATGCCAGGTAAACCAAATTATAAGAGTCGAGTCCTTTGGTCCAATAAGCAAACACAAATCCATAAAAAAAGGCCAAGCGATTAACCATTTTCCACATCTAGAAATAGAAGTTTTCAGTACGCAAGTAACATAATTAAAGATATTTTAATCACGACGAATATGTAATTAACTAATTAACAAGCTACTTTTACAGTTATCACGGCTAATAAAATCGCAATAATCAGTAGTGCACATTTGACAAACCACATACTAGGTTGCGCATTCGCGGTGTCACGAGTTCGACGACGTTGTTGACGGCAAATTGGCGCCGGAGCACTACCTAAACAAAGAATAATGTTTCCTTCTTCAACCCATCTGAAAAAATGGCAGACGGTGCACTTGTAATTAGGTCGAATCCAATTGGTTAGTGTGGTTGAAATTCGGATCTCTACAAGGTATGGAGGGCCACGACACTCACATCAACAAGTTTCAACCCATAAAACATCATCGTCAACAACAGGAGTACTCCGATTGTTGAATGTTTCAACGAATAAGACATCGTCATCGTAAGCAGGAGCAGTCCGATTCTTGAAAAACCGCTTGACCATACTTACTTTAGGGTTCTATAATTCAATTGGTAATTGGGAAATTTTCAATTGGTAAATGGGCAATTTTCAAATTCAATAAATAATTGGGCAATTTTAAGTTTAGGGGGAACAATGTTTCGAGCTGGCTTTCAAATAAAATAATGCGTCTTGCTGGCTGGTATTTATACAAATGAAGGTAAAACCATTGCCCGGGAAAGAGTAATTTGGAAATATGGCCATGAATTCGAATTTCACAAAATTGAAATTTCAGGAATGAAATTTTCTGTGAAAACCATGGCGGGAAATAACACGCCATTACAAAAGACAGAAGGTTCATGTAATCATGTTATAAGCTAAGAAGAGAGCAAATTTAAATTAAGACGTTGAAAATAGTTAAAATATGACTAGTAAAATAATTATGAAAGGACATAAAAAACCATCTATGTCACCAGCTTCTTATGTAAGTGGAGGAATGAAGTATATTGATAATTATACCAGCCTTTATTATGCACAATTGATTTATGCACAATTTTCTTTTGAACTATTTATGTATGAACAATTCATTTATGCACTACTAAATATGCACAATTTATTTATGAAAGAGTATAAGACAAACAAGGTAAATCAAGAGAGATATAGCAAGTACACACGAACATTGGTCCACGTGTCGAGAAAGGAATCGACAAGGATATAACCCAAAAAGTAATGACGACGTTTTTCTTGTTTGAAATTCCGCTTTAACCGGACAGTTGACATCAGGCTTAAACGGATATAGTGAAATAACCCCGTTTGGACATTGCTTAATCGTAATACGGTGTCCCCCCCCCCCCCCGAGACATCATTGAAAAAATGGCATTAATGATGAATTTATATCTTGATAAAGTTAGTCATCATATATGACTGACTGAGACTGATAACTGCAATCGGAATTCATTATGTAAACTAAAGTAGCTACAATACGTAATATTAGTAAATATATATTGTCTCATGACTCGACTCACAACTATAATAGGAGTACATCGTATAAATTCAATGATCTAATTCACTAAATGATCTAATTAACTAAATGGTGCTAATTCACTAAATGATATAATTCACTAAATGATGTAATTAAGTAAATGATCTAATTCACTAAATGATCTAATTAACTAAATGATCTAAATCATGATCTCGTTAGTCAATTACTATCACTCCCAAAACAAGTCACTAAGTAGATACAATTAACAATATAATGTTATTAGTTAAATGACCTAATAGTTGAACAAAGGTAAAGTAATCGATCCATACAAACGCATTTCATGCCAATTAGGTGAACTATCAAGTATACTGGACGTCGTCAACATAATTGGATACATTATACTAGCATGAAGTGCATTTAATTTTAATTTAATTATGACTTGTTGAAGATAGCTCCCTAAACCCTAAACCCTATACACCGTAGTCCAGTAGTCTTAGTTATTCAAAGTTGGAGCTACTAAAAATATGTTATTACTACCCAAAGTTCAAGTGGTATTGTATGTAGTCCACTAGTTTAAGTTATTCAAGGTTAGAGCTATTAAAAAATATGTTATTACTACCCAAAGTTCAGGTGGTATTGCACAAGTACTTGGAAGTAATTATCATTATAAACATGGCTATTTGGGTTTATTTTGATGATAACGGTGCAATTTAACTTATTAAAAGGAGTTTAATGGAAATACAAACCAAAGTGTTAATTCCATTGATAAAGGATCAAAATAAATAACAAAAAGTAAATAATCAAAGGTGTAAATGGATGAGAAGTGTAGTACATCCTTGTTAGTAAATATGTGTAGTACGCTTTTTACTATGTGGAGTACATTTTTTTTTCTTTTTTTATTAAAGTAAAATTAATTGATTGCCTCAAAAGTTGTACTAAGTGAAGGTAAAATTAAGTATTGTGTAGAATTTTTTGGATATGATAATTAATGAGTAGGTGAAAAAAAATACTGTAATTTATTATTGTGTTATATAAAATGTCTCGCACACAAAACT